CCCCCCCCCCCCTCCACCCCAAAAAAAATAAACAAAAATAGATATTAAGCAATGGACTAAACAGTGAACAGGTTATATATTTACCTCACGAGACCAATCCAGAGAGGCTCCCAATCGGCGTAATTGTTGCAATATTGTGCCCCCATACTTGTCTTTCCACTCCCAAACCTATTTTGCCAATTTTCACCGAAGTAGGTCAGAATAAACAAATAAAAATGTAGCAAAATATCAAGAACCTTGACTTCAAAGATTGTTCTATTTATATACCTCTGAGACAAATTTCTCACGGCCCAGATCATGCCTCGTTAGTTTTCTTTCACGCATTATCTTTTTCTCCACAACTACCTGTGTCATAGTAATCACAATTAACATAATTTAATTTTATCTCAAAGGATATGTTGAAAGACAGAAAATGAAGATACACAGATTCTATAGTACATTAGCACCATAAGTAATAATTGAAATAGGTTTACAGTACCATTTAAAGCCAATGATGATATGAGGGGTAAAAATGTGTAAATTGCTAAATGCTGCCTATCCAGCCCTTAACTGTGTAGACTGTAATTTGTTTCTAGCCACAAATTTGGGACAGAAAGATATTTGGCAAAATCAAAAGATAAAAAGACTCATTGTTTCTCAGAAGCTAAATTTTGACGCTATCACACAGTTTGCAACAGCTATTTAAATTATAGATCATAGCATGAAATTAAATGTGCATAGGCAATTGAACAAATGATTTTTAATAGAAATAATTCTTAAAAATTGAATCCAAATGCAAAAAGCAAAATAACTATCCTTTTTTCTAAAATAAGTTCCTTTCATCATTATGTAAGCCTAGGCCAAATAACTGGCCCTCCCTCCAACACCCAACCACAACATCCCCATCAAATGATAAATTACAAAACAGTTACGAACTACATGAAATCGTCTCAATTTTGGAATACAACCTGTGTAGCAATCCCAGCATGATCCATTCCAGGCACCCACAAGGCATTGTATCCAGACATTCTACGCCATCGAATCATTGTGTCCTGCAGGCAATAAATCACATTGAGATTAACTGTTTTGAACAACTAAACTAAACAGTGAAAATGGGGTATATAAGATACCTCTATTGCAGCTGTTAGAGCATGACCTATATGGAGAGCACCAGTCACATTTGGAGGGGGCAAAACCTAAAACACAGCATAAACAGATTCTTGATATACAAAAAATAAGAGCAAAATTGCAAATTTTATATATCTTAGAATTTCTTGTTTGTGCAGCCACTTTACTCAAGCAGTGTAACTGCCAAAAAATAACAGCATAGCATAAATCTTTTCAAGATTAAAGCAGGATCAAAAGACTATATTTTATTTCAAATCCGGAAAAGACTAACATTAATCAATAGCAAAATATTTGAGAACCTACTTTTAGAATTTCATCTGATACCTTCAAAGAGCAATGTGAATACTATTGAATTTTGGGAAACTTCTTAGACTAGTAAGATAAAAACACTTTTAAGATGTGGACCAATGATTTAAATTTTAAACTTTCAGAAGAACCTCAAACTGAGAGGGATCACTTCCACTACATAGGAAAAGGTTACTTCACACTCCATTTGTAAATGTCCGATCAATTACATCCTCTAAGCGTGTGTTTGGATTCACGTTTACTGGACTCGACTCATGTAAAAAACGTGAAAACAAGAAGCTATCATATCTTGCTTCTGCATCAAATTCGTCAAAACGTGGATTATTGACGCGAATTCAAACATGCACTAAGTGAACATACAAAATTGTCTTTAATTCATTCCATGGCAGAAAAATTGAAGCAAAAACCAACTTCACATAGTATCCAAAACTAACTTTTAAAAGTTAAACAAGACACTTACGATAACAAAAGGTGGTTTGGAGCTGTTAGCATCTGCAACAAAAAAACTTGATTTCTCCCACCACTCATACCACCTAAAATATAACAACGATAAAAGTTAATCTTTTGATAAATTTAAAGTACAACGAGCATAAAGATGGAATTAACACCCACGATTTCTCCACGGCAGTTGGACTATACTGTTTTGCCATCTGCCGAGCCATACGCTTCTTGTCACCCAATGGAGTCTCAGGATCAACATAATCCTCAGGATTCTCATCCTCTCCACCCCGCTTCACAACTTTCTTTTCACTCTTTTTAGAAGCATTGGATGATTGCTGTGCTTGCTGCTGCCGGAACCAAAAGGAATAAAACAAAAAATAAAAGTGGAAATTCTGAACATTAGGAAGAAAAAAAAAACATAGAAAAATCAAACCAAATGTTGCAAACTTGCAATTGCACAGCAGGGAAATGAAGAACTCCAATCACCTGAGCTTGTTTAAGCAGAAACTTCTCTTTCTTCAATTGCTTCTCTCTTGCCTGACATGAGAAAACAAAAATTAGCAACCATTGCATGGTATTATTCCACCCAAATTATTAAAAAGAGAACTTAGCATCAGATTAATAAACCAATGGGAACTAAAAAAAGGGGTTAAAAATATGTTTTTTTCTTAAACCCATTAATGCAAAAAGAAAAAAAATCCCAATTGTTAATTAAGCCAAAAAAGGACAAGATGGTGATTATGATAATGATTGAAAAACCTTCTCTTCCTTTTTCTTTTTCTTCTCAGGGTCTTCAGGTGTGGGTTGCACTTGCTCCTTTTTGTTGGCAGGTGATTCCATTGATGAACAGTGACGATAGTTCTGCTCATGTAGAGAATAAGCAAAGTAAGAAACCACAACACAACAAACAAAATCAGTAGTAGAAGTGAACTTAGTGCAACCACACAAATTAGAAAGAAGGGAAAAAAATGAAAAATTTACGAGAAATGAAAAAACTTGGAACGACCTTCTTCACTGTTTGTGAGAAGAGGGATCGAGAAAGTGAACGGATGAGAGAGGAACGCAGTGCTGAGGCCGTGAGGAAAGGGTTTAGGGGAAACGGTGAGCTTGCTAGTGCACTACCCTAGGTTTAATTCATTTATATTTTTCACTTTTCTTCTCTCTTTTAATTCACTTTTATTCTCCAAAAAAAATATTGCAGTATTGAATATTTGAATTTGTAGAAAATTTAACACTATAAATAAAATAAATATTCTGGTTAATTATCTTTTTTATTTTCACACGATAAATTAGTGTAAAAAATATCATTTTTAATTTAACACAATAAATAAAATAAATTTACAAGTTTGTTAAGGATAGATATTGACTAATTTTATCAGTGGTACCTAGTTCACAAAATGAAGTTAGAAAATGCTAAGAACACTTTCATCTTAATATATCTTTACTATAGTTTGAAATTCATTAGAAATTATAAATATGTTGGGACTCACTTTTAAATCAGGAGTAAAACAATTTAATTAGAAATAAATCACACTAAAATTTATAATTTTCAATAAAAATTATTTAATAGTAAAGAGAATATAGAGAGTGTTTAAGAGAATATATTACTATCATTTCTCGATAAAGTTAAGAATTTTCTTTAAGTAATTAAATATTCGAAATGCTCTTTTAGTAATTAACTGGTTGTTTCTTTCCTTCGTAGGACTCCTTGTTGAGCTTAAGTAAAGTAATTATAATTCAACATATCACATTGTAAACATATTATATTCAACATAAAAAATAAGTTTAGTTTTGGGCCTTTTGGCATGAGTTTTTTTTAGGATAGGGGTGGACTAATTTTGTTGACGATAAAAAGTTTCACTTATATTAGTCTTTTATTGTATATTTTTTCACAATAAATTTTCTTATTAAATAGATATTATATTCTCATAACATGTTAATGTAAGATGTCTAATTTTTATGTTAATTATGAGATTAAATATTTTTTTCAAATACCATCAAATTTTGACACATTCTTAAAATAAAAATCTTGCTAGTCTTCATTAAATCTTGTCAAATTTGTTTTTATATCATAACTTTTTTATATTTTAAAGTCTTTTAAAATTTCATCTATTGTGTCCCTTTAAAAAAAATCTTCCCTATTTTTTTTTAATTTTTTTTTTCACTTCCTAAACCTTTAGGAATATAAATAAAATAAAATTGGTACACACCATAAAGTAACATTTTTTTCGTCATTCCAAACAGGACATACACTTTTTCTTTCATTTCTTCTTCAGTCAGTTTCTGCTTTTCGCACCTCCTCTTCTTCTTTGTGTATTTCTGTTTGGAAGTTTAAGTTATGGCATCGAAATGCATCATATGAAGGGGCTCAAACAGAAGGATCCTCTTACATTATTTTATTTTATTACACACCAAAATTTGACAGCTTCCGTTTCAATTATTCAACCCTTTATGTTATTTCCTGTGGCATGACCTTGTTCTAAATCTTAAATAATCATATTCGCAAATAATAATTCGTATTTTGGTTCTGTTATTTTGCCCCTTCACCTTTTATATTCATGTTATTGGACTCATTCAACAAGACAAAGCTTGTAGTCTTGTACTGTTTTGATGTATAATTGTAACATCCTAAAATTTAAATATAATATTATTATATTATTATTAAAATAGTAATTAATTTTTTTAAGCATGATATTTTATAATTTTAATTTTATTGTTAAAATTTTCAGAAATTAAAATGAAAATAGATAATATTTAGTTAAGATTCAAAATCTTGCTTATGATGTATTATTTTAGAATGATATTTTAATTATAAACTATTAATATATATATATATTGGTGAATTTAATTTTTATTTTTAAATATTTGAATTATGATACGAAGATACGTATAAATATATGCGGATCACCATTTTTTCTTTTCTTGGAAAAATATTTATTCTTAATTTTCAAAAAAAAAATGTGCAATAAATGCACGGATAAGAAGTGCATAGATAAGCCTCAGCACCTTATCCCCTTAAGCCTCAACACCTTATCCCGTGGAATTCAAAGCAATTTCAATATTACCTAATTCTAACTATAGGTACCAACAGAAGTATAATTGAATGAACTTACCATTACATATTAACCAAGTAATCATTACTTGGAGTGCTATAAATAGGTTCACTTGTGGTAAAAAATTGGAGACATCAAAACTCACGGTAATAGAGCAACAGAGAGACGTAAGTGAAGAGAGAAAAAAATAAAAGGAGAAGAAAGAAAGAGAGACAGAGAGTGAAGTAAGAGATTTCTTTTACACAACCACTCCTTGATAAATCTACATTTTAAGGTAAGGGGGAGGAGAACTTTGT